TATACCACTCCTGTATTCCGAGTCCATTAGCACCTGATCCAATCAGGGTTCAGTCATGTGTTTGTTGTCTATTCTGAACCAATAGAAATAGTATGCCGGTAACATCTATCTTATTATTATCCATTTAGAGTTATGAATCCTTCAATCTGCGCTATCCAAAGATAATATATATAGATATGCATGCAGGTAGAAACCTCCTTCCTAAATTGCTTTTAGCAAACAACTAATTTTTGTACCTCTGAGATAAAGTGCAACGAGAGACATCTATAGCAAATTGATTATTTTCTATATTCCTTTCTCCCCCTGCTGACATCTGTAGGAAATACGCATTTGTGTTACTGTATAGTTCAAGTGTTGCTATCTGGACCTGTTTGACCAATAAAATTAAATTTCAAGGTAACACAAACATACAGTACGCGTTTTGTTTATGTTATGATCAGTTGTACTTAGTAAAGATATAGTAGACAAACAGAAATATTGACAAACCTTAGGAAATTATTTTATATTTGTTAAATAAGTGATATCTATTTAATCAAAATTTGAATGGCAAAAATATTTTCAGTAATAGAAGTAAAGGTGTTGCATTATGTAATAGAATATGAAAAAAACTTGTTTAAGTCATGCAATCACGATCCTGAACAAAGTTGTGCAATCACGATCCTGAACAAAGTTGTGCAATCACGATCCTCAACAAAGTTGTGCAATCACGATCCTCAACAAAGTTGTGCAATCACGATCCTGAACAAAGTTGTGCAATCACGATCCTCAACAAAGTTGTGCAATCACGATCCTCAACAAAGTTGTGCAATCACGATCCTGAACAAAGTTGTGCAATCGGCTTTCTTTTGTTAAAGGCTTTCCAAAGAGTTGTAAGAAGTCAAAATCCAATGACCGGAGGTAGGTCTAAATTTAGATTTAGTCTGGTAAAGGTAAGATAAGGCATTCAGGCAATAGGCCGGAAGACTCAGGCAGTAGGTATAAAATCCCCACTTTTAGCCAAAAGTGATGGGCATGTGCTAGTTAGAAAATTCAAAAAGTTTGAAGAGCCTCAAACCAATACTTTTATAGTCTCAAAAAATGTCAGGGGAATGGGGCTAACTTTATTTCACAATAGCAAAGAAAAGATTAACAGTTCCTTCCTGCAGAATTTCCTATGAATTTGGAAAGTTTAAAAAACAGAGGTTTAAAGGGACGGTTTACTTATTTGGGTAATTTCATGGCACATTTGAATTATTTAAAAAAATTAAACTAAGGCTATCAAATGGGATTATGGACTGGGGCTGGCTCATTTCTTTTTTATATACCAATCCAATTGAAGTTTTGAGCGCACCAAACCTAGGATGATCATTTTAGGAAAGTAATGGAGTTTTTTTGAGGTTTTGGGGTGAAGGGGGTGATGATCCAGTAGTGAGCCATGAAGAGCCAGGAGCAACCGACCATAGTAGTGTTGAATGGGATGTATTGTTCGACCGGATCCTGTCCGCTATTAGGACTGTGTCCTAGATTCGATGTACTTTTTAGTCATAATTTTTATTTAAATTGCGTTAATTTACATATGCCATTCAGTACAACTTGCACATTTAAACTTTGTCTAGTCAAATTCCTACCTCAGTTTTATTTGCATTGATTAATTTGTTTCATTAAGTACAATATGCAATATACATTGTTGATACTATAGTACGCATTTAGTGTTATCACGCATAAACAAAGTGATAAATTAGCAACAATCCAGAGGATAAAATGCCATGCGTACGAAAGAGATGGTGCTGATTGCACTTTTTCTGAAGACCTCAAATTTCTACCTGCCAGCGTATCTATATATATTATCTTTGGCGCTATCAAAACGGAAATATGTACTTCTACTGTACACTATAGTATTACAAAACCAGTTTCTTAAAAATGTCATCCTTACAAACGATACTTTTAACTAATTCACAAAAAAAAGATATATTTCTTGCATTATTAGCAGCCTATTCAGTATCCGCTATCCTCGTTGTGATCTCGTTCAACCGGAAATGGATTGTTTTAAACCGGAAACAGAATCCTGGCTTTCCGGAAGTTGAATGAACAAATGTTCTTTTTACCCAACCCTGCTCTGGGTAATGAGTTGTGTTACTACATTTATTATTTCCAGACAAAAGAGCTTGACCTGAGATGTAAAGTATATATTAAGTACAGGGTCACTCAGAACACAAAGATCCAGATTGCAATGAAAAGTTACATTAACTTTAAAGTCTAGGTCGACTTTGAAGTGTCGCAACGAATTGTCTTTGGAACTTGCCTACTTTTTATGTGTATATTTTAGAAATTTAAAGTACTTATTTTCAACAATAGCTCTTAAATAAAATAATTAGTTAAATTCTTTTTGACTTCTGAGTTCGAGCAATTGCAACCTTTGGACCACTGTGAGAAAGAATGACATTAAACTTTTTAAATACGACAACTATAGAATACGTACAATTTGTGGGAGTACAATACTGCCTTGAAAATACCCTAAAAAGTTTTTGCAATGATTTTTTCCCTAAAAAAACATCATTGAAATCTCGCCCTTTAACCCTATCCCGATTGGAATATTTTTGTCTAATATATATTGGGAGGGGGGGGGGGGTGTCCCCCCTGTGATTTTTCCCTTAAGGTTGAGATAGGGGAGTGTGATACATGTCCCTAGTCCAACTTTTCAAGGCCTGCTCATCAAAATAAATTAGACCGCTTTACCTTACCGTCTTCCATCCTACCCTATGCATCCCCCCAAAAAATATTTTTTGCGAAATTTGTTTGTAACTATTATCTTGAAAACGTGAAGAAGTTATAGCGTTCTAATGTAAGCCATTTTTAAGTTACAAGGCTCTTATATTTCAATTGTGAACATGTTCTTTCTGTGTACATTGTAAAACAAATCAAACAAAATTTCGCGGATTTCATAAAAAAAAATTCGTGGATTTTGAAAATTTTTATAAATTTATTAAAAATCGAATTTTGATGGAAATTTTGAAATTTTAATCCTTCATAAACCTTCTCTGGGGCCACGTGAGGTCCCACACAAAATTTTGGCCTAATCGGTTCAGCCGTTTTTGATTTATAAATAGATTAAGAACCCCCCCCCCCTCCCAATCGTGATAGGGATAAGAGTAAGTGTATTAAAAACCTTTTGAATATGTTAATGGTTCTTAATTGCATAATAATACCTTCGTGATTGCATGAATGAAATATGAAAAATAAAGCCTAATTTTTAATCGGTGCAGCTTTATTGTCCAAAAAGTAAGCCCTTATACACCCTCATAAGTTACTAAAAACCTTCAAACCCACAAAAATCTTTCTAGTTTAAAACTTGCTTATTTTTTTAAATTATAGTATAAATTTGTTATACTCTTAGTTGAAATATGTAATTAACCTCAATTCTATCAGACTCCAATCCATTTATTTAAATTCCAATTTATTGAAAAATCTGCAATTTAGAAATATTTCCTAGATTTTGTGTAAAATAGAATAAAACTTTCAGAGAAGAAGGGTTATAATTTGACAAGTCACGCTTCCCGTCAATAATTCAATAATTTCAATTATTTCCTCGGCCTCGGAAAAATAAATGAAACATGAAAATAAAAAATTAGGGAATTATGAAAATAAGAAAAAAACTTGGGAGGAGGGTTTTTAAGTGAAATTTAATCCACCCCGCAAAAATTAAACGTTCGGGACAAAGCTGTACAAAATTTAATTCGTCTAACTTCTGATCATATATGATTGTAAGATTACCAAAGTCCAAATTAAACAATCAGAACTTAAATTTAACTAAAGAAAATTATTTTTTCCACACTCTTATTTTTCAATCCCTATATCTTATCAACGTACCCAATGTCTAAAACCTTTGATATTTCAAACTGTGAATTCTGTTAGATTAATTTGTTTAAGTATGAAATATATAGATAAGAAAATTTTAGTTTGCGACTCGACAGAAACTCTTATTTGAAAATTTGGTTTCATTTCAGATCTAGATTAGACTAGAAAACCATGTTTTATAGTTATGTGATTCAAAGCACTTATAAGAAACAATTGAGAAATTAAAACTAAACACTTTTTGAGTCAGAAAATCGAAATTTTTTAAAAAGTTTAAGGTTTTATGGATACCGACGTTGTAAATCAAGCATTGTCATCTTAGCATGATGGGTCACTTGAAATTACGCTCAAAGGTTCTTTCAAATGTTTATATTATACAGTTTGAAATCAAGAACTTATGCAAGTGATTCGGATGATAGTTCCGTGAAGAATGGGGCTCGGATGAAGAATTGAAGAGGTTTAAGTGTCCCTCACCCCCCTCGCTCATCCTTCCTGATAATATCGTGCAAAGCAAAACTTGTGTTAATAAATTAAAAACTGAGCTGTTTGGACGGAAAGGGTAGAATGGTTTATTACTTTAATTTATCTGTAAATGGGATTTTACCATGATACTAATTAACTAAATGTTAACTAAACATTAAGCAAGGAAACATATTAAAAGACAGTGGTCTCCAAAATAAATTGAAATTAAAAGAGGATACGCAGTCATTGTAGTGTGATACCTTAATTTTACCTAGATAACCACGCAGGGGGGGGGGGTAATTAATACCTCCCTCTGGTTTTACTTCCTAATTTTTAAAACAATCCTATATCACCCTGAATCTTTTAATTTTTACTTAAGGATAATTGATTTTTGATTTTTTTTGCAAAAGTTTTGATTATCTCCAGACCCCACAGCCCCTAGGCTTTGTATTGTATGGTCAACTAGGACTAATCGTGTGACTTGCAGTTGCAAGTGCTTGCATGATATGCTTGTTTTCATAAACATAATTTTTTGTCAATGTAAAATTTTGTTTTATATTATAATAATGTTATGTGTTTTCAAAAAAATAAAAATCAATTCATGTAAATTATCAAAACTTGATATTTTTACTTTTTTCTTCTTTATACCCCCCCCCCCCTTCTTGACTAGCCTTGAGTTTAACAAACTTTAAAATTACTTAAAATAATTATTAATTAATAATTTATTTTGTCTAACAAAAAATGTACACTAACATACAACTCTATATACAGGAAGTCTGAATAAATATGGGAATTAAAAATCATCTTTGATCGTTTTCATGGCAAATGTATGCTTTACAAAATGGGAAGTGTCGTTTTTGTATTTTCAGAAACGACAGAGATTTTAGAGAGGACTTGACTCTTTGAATCTTTTAATCCCTTTATTTTTGCAACCTGATGTCTTAGTCCTTGGATATTTCAAACTATGAATTCTGTTGGATCATATAATCTAAGTTTGAAATATCAAAGGTTTTCACCATCAGGTTGCAAAATCTAAACTCCTTTAGTAAGTTTTGTCTTATCTAATAAATAAAGAATGGGATATTTTCATATCTCAATAAAATAGGCAAAAGAGACATTTGGGAAATATACAAATTGTTTTGGGTTACAACAGTTGGTTAGTTCTTGTTACCATAGAAGCATTATTTATTCCCATGTTTATTGGGATATCCTGTCCACTTTATGTCCATGTTTATTGGGACTCCCTGCACACACAATTTCAATTTTATATTTGATCTGTGTCTCTTTTTAATATACAAAGAATATTAACCCAGAGAAGGCTGCAGGTTGCAACATACACAACTCGAAACTAAACAAATCAAACCATTTTACAATTTTCAATTTTACAAATCTACGCTAGTTCTGTACTGTACAAAACAGTACAGGCTTACAATCACGGTACAATACAGTACAATAAAGTAATAAAGTACAGAACAGTCAGTACAGTACAGTACAGTACAGTACAGTACAGTACAGTACAGTACAGTATAGTACAGTACAGTACAGTACAGTTCAGTACAGTACAGTACTGTAAAGTACATTACAGTTCAGTGCAGTACAGCACAGTACAGTACAGTACAAAAAAACTCTACCTGATTGGGTAGTATAAGAAAGTTGATAGCTTGAGCTGGCATCCAGAACATACAAGAACTTTGAAAGGTTGGAACTAATTTTTCTCTAAATAAATACAGTTGTCCCCAAGATAATGTGCAATATAAGAAAAAGAACTGATATTTTAAGCTTTTGCTGGATTTAGCAGTTGATGCAAGTGTTCAATCTTTTTCAAAGACTCAAAAAGAAAAGACAAGGTTTGCTTATATCCGCCAGGGAATGGTAATAAAATAAATTAATGCAATTACATTACTCGCTGAGCTTCTCTTCAAAAACAAAACATGGCAAGCACAAAGTTATAAATGCATTGTTGAGTAAAAGAATAGTTTATTAGTGTAAAAATACAGATATTCAATTGAATTAAATTGAAAAATCCACATCATCCTGAAAACATGGTTATTTTGGTCCGAAAAAAACCTTTGACTGATTATCGAGAGCATGAAGAACTCCTTGTGTTTATTTCTAAGATGGTGTTCAAACAGCCTGGAAACTGGATTGTATTACAAGTTTTATAAAGCTTATAAACTGTAATTGTGTGTTAATTAATGCTACGAGAAAACCTCTGTATTTTAAACATAACAAGAATTTATCATTTCTAATTGAAAAAAAATGAAATCAAATTTCAAATTCACTCTTAGTCTTAAACTTTTAAATTCAACAATTTTAGATGTTTGTGAAAATGTGATTGTTTAATTTCTTCCAAAATTTCACCAAGATTGAATTGAAAAATCAAAGAAAATTCGGGACATTATAATAAGAGAATTCGCAACATTGTAATAAGAGAATTCTCAACATTGTAATAATAGAATACGCAACATTGTAATAAGAAAATACGCAACATTGTAATAAGAGAATTCGCAACATTGTGATAAGAGAATTTGCAATATTGTAATAAGATAATTCACAACATTGTAATAAGAGATTTCGCAAGATTTCGTAACAATGTAATAAGATAATTCGCAACATTGTAATAAGAGATTTCGCAACATCGTAATAAGAGATTTCGCAACATTGTAATAAAAGAATTCGCAACATTGTAAAAAAAGATTTAGCAACATTCTAATAAAAGATTTAGCAACATTGTAATAAGAGAATTCGCAACATTGTAATAAGACAATTCGCAACATTGTAATGAAAGATTTCGCAACAATGTAATAAGATAATTCGCAACATTGTAATAAGAGATTTCGCAACATCGTAATAAGAGATTTCGCAACATTGTAATAAAAGATTTAGCAACATTGTAATAAAAGAATTCGCAACATTGTAATAAAAGATTTTGCAACATTGTAATAAGAGAATTCGCAGCATTGTAATATCAGATTTCGCGACATTGTAACAAGAAAATTCGCAATTTTTCCGTTCTGGTCTAGTTGTTTTTTCAATGGCTCCTTTGTTTTTGTTTAATTAACGGATATTTGAACATTAGCATGTTTAAATACCACAAAGAAGTATTGCACAAATAAAGGTACAATCTATTTTTTTACTCATCCTGTACCTGGGAAAAATAGAAAGATATTTTCAAATAATTTACGCAGGGTTTAAAAAGATTTAAAGATGTTGCCGAGGACTAGTGTCTATGGTTTCAAGAAAATATTTCCCAAAAGAAAATCCTTCTTGTGGTTTGCTTTCATCCCGAGTAAAGATTTGCTTATATGCTATCCAGGCCACATCAATAAACAAGCAGCTTGGAGCCTTGGATTTGGAATTCAGATATTCCAAATTCAATTCAAACTGCAGTCTTCTCTGCAAATATAAAGGGTGTTCCAGAAAACATGATACATTCACATACAAAATATATCTTTCGGCTTTCGGTTATTCTAACAACTGTCATAAAACAAACCTAGCCCTGGAATCTTTCCAAATGTGTGTTGTGCTTTCCAAGTATATAAAAGACATGTTAATTGGGATATCTTGTATTTTATCTTTTATCTTTATAATTATAGGGAGTTTTCGCAAAAAATAAAAGGGAGGTATAGGCTTACGTCGAAAAAAAAATCAATGCTGATCGCTACTAATGTTACGTTGCGTCTATAAGGAGAAAATTGTTAAGAACGACTCATACCAAATAACTTTAAGTTAATTGTATGTAAAGCAAATACAAAATATTATGAAATATCAACTATATACGAATGCGTCGATTAAAATTCGATGATTATAAGTTGTAATATCTGAATGATGTATTTGTAATTAAATTGAAATATTTACGATCTGAGTCGAAAATTGAAACTTTGTGAATTTGTATGGACACTACCTTTTTCGGCATGAGTTGTGTATAACAATTTTCTCCTTATAGACACAACAGATAGAATTATGATTAGTACCGATCACCATACTTTTCAACGAAAGCCTATACTAGACTCCTTTCATTTTTGCGAACACTCTCTTTATATAATTGTATTAGTTTTGATTATTTGAAAAATCTAATCCCAATTCCAGATTATTACCTGCACTCTGTAAAAATATCTGGTTTGCCCTCCATTATCGACATTCCTGTAGAAAGTAGATAGATAGATAGATAAATAGATAGATAGATAGATAGATAGATAGATAGATAGATAGATAGATAGATAGATAGATAGATAGATAGATAGATAGATAGATAGATAGATAGATAGATAGATAGATAGATAGATAAAAGGGAACAAGATAGATAGATAGATAGATAGATAGATAGATAGATAGATAGATAGATAGATAGATAGATAGATAGATAGATAGATAAAAGGGAACAGTGCTGAAAGAAAGATAGATAGATGGATAGATAGAAAGATGGAAGGGAACAGGGCTGATAGAAAGATAGATAGATAAATAAATAAATAGATAGATAAAAGGGAACAGTGCTAATAGAAAGATAGATAGATAGATAGATAGATAAAAGGAAACAGTGTAGATGGATAGATAGAGAGACGAAAGGGAACAGTGCTGACAAAAAGATAGATAGATAGATAAAAGGGAACAATGCGGACAGATATATAGATAGATAAAAGGAAACAGTGCTGACAGATATATAGATAGATAAAAGGAAACAGTGCTTACAGACAGATAGATAGATAAAGGGGAACAGTGCTGACAGATAGATAGATAGATAAAGGGGAACAGTGCTGACAGATAGATAGATAGATAAAGGGGAACAGTGATCACAGATAGATAGATAGATAAAAGGAAACAGTGCTGACAGATAGATAGATAGATAAAAAGGAACAGTGCTGACAAAAAGATAGATAGATAGATAAAAGGGAATTGTGCTGACAGATAGATAGATAGATAAAAGGGAACAGTGCTGACAGATATATAGATAGATAAATGGAACAGTGCTGACAGATAGATAGATAGATAAAGGGGAACAGTGCTGACAGATAGATAGATAGATAAAAGGGAACAGTGCTGACAGTTATATAGATAGATAAATGGAACAGTTCTGACAGATATATAGATAGATTAATGGAACAGTGCTGACAGATAGATAGATAGATAAAAGGGAACAGTGCTGACAGATAGATAGATAAAGGGGAACAGTGCTGAAAGATAGATAGATAGATAAAGGGGAACAGTGCTGACAGATAGATAGATAGATAAAAGGGAACAGTGCTGACAAATATATAGATAGATAAAGGGGAACAGTGCTGACAGATAGATAGATAGATAAAGGGGAACAGTGCTGACAGATAGATAGATAGATAAAGGGGAACAGTGATCACAGATAGATAGATAGATAAAGGGGAACAGTGCTGATTTTAAATGTTTTGATTTCAACTTTACCCTACAGGTTGAAAGATAGATTGATGAAAAGATAGGTTTAGAGATTTATATTTAGAAATCAACATGAGTTCTTGAACATTTAAAAAAAAATGAAATTCTGGAAGAAATTGTAAAAACAAGAAATCTGGTCAAATGCTACAATTTTGACAAAAACTTTCAATAATGTTAGGCCCAAAGGACAACGTTCAGGGTTAATGAAGTCATTAATTCAAATTTCAGTTTCCGAATATATAGCTGAACATTATACAATTTCTTTGAAAACCATAACTTTTAAACGATGAAAGCTTGTTTCTGGAATAAGACAAAGAAACTGAGTACTTGCAACAAACTCTGATTTTCTATTTCCTTTATCTTTGAAATCCGAGGTTAGGGACAAACTATGAATTCTGAAAGATGAAATAGTTTTAAGTTTAAATTATCAGAAAACAAAAATATAGGAATTTGGATATTAGAGTTTGAGGCAAGAACTCAGTTCCTTTACTCTGTGATCTTGTTGCGCTCTATACTATATACCTGTATAGAATATTGCAAGTATTGGAGGTGAAATCACAAATTGATCAAGGAGCATCTTCTGACCAATGATTGATAAACTGGTTCCAACAAACCTCTTTTAAGGGACAGTCTACAGTCGTCATCGTATATATTAATACAAAAAAGACGATTTCCTTTATCTATTTTTATTTCTACCAAGCTTTAAATAGCAGAGACACATTAAAATGTAAACAAATAGAAGTATTTAATGAACATTGAACAATTTCTCTTTGTTTTCTTGTAAACTTGTCATTTCCAGAACTCTTTGCAGGAATCAAAGCATTATAAATAAAAATTCATCTTCATTATTTGGATATAAACGCCAACTTTAACCCTTTTAAAGAGTTAAATGCCAAATTCACAGGATTACACCTTAATTCTAGCAATAATGATGAATATATTTTACTTTTTCTATCTTGAGAAGAAGTAGATTCTCACAAAGGAAAACAACTTTGCTGTTTTGTTTTTTTTGCTAAAATAATGGTTAAAAAGTACCGTTGTGAAACAGAAAGTCAGTCTTGACATTTTATTTACATTTCAATTTTTACTGCAGTATAGTTTTTAATGTACACTTGCTGTACACTATGTATGCTGAAAGTCACAGAAAAAAAAAATTATATAAATTCAAAGTGCTATTAAAATTTTCATACATTTTTAAGACCAGGTCGCCTTTTTAGTATCACAAAACCTTGACCTTATATTTGACAAACTCATCTATATTTTTCTGTAGCTCTAGACATTTTGCACATTTTTAGATCCATAAATGTAAAAGAATTAGCTTTTAACTTTTCATCCCCAAGAAGTTATTGGCAAAATTTTCAAGAACTTTTGCAGAGATCTTTAAAACTTTGAATCCGTGTACATTACAAAGGAATTGAGTCCTTGCCACAAATTCGGATTTTCTAATCCCTATATCTTTGGAACCCAATGTCATAAACCTTTGATATTTCAAACTTATATTATTTGATGTTACAGAAGTCATAGTTTGAAATGTCAAAGGTCTACAACATTGGACTCCAAAGATAGGGATTAGAAAATCAGAGTTTATTACAAAGACTCAATTCCTTTAGAACAATTAAGATTCAAGTAAAAACATCACCTTGTCTAGCCATTTGTACCAACGGAATAAAATATTAGGGAACACAAAAGTCCCTAGAACTCCATATCTAGAAAAGTATCAATAATAGATAAAAATTTGGTCCCTAGAACTCCATATTTAGAAAAGTATTAATACTAGATAAAAATTTGGTCCCTAGAACTCCATATCTAAAAAGTATTAATAATAGATCAAAACTTGGTCCCTAGAACTCCATATCTAAAAAGTATTAATAATAAATCAAAACTTGGTCCCTAGAACTCCATATCTAGAAAAAGTATTAATAATAGATCAAAACTTGGTGCCTAGAACTCCATATCAAGAAAAGTATTAATTAAAGATAAATATTTGGTCCCTTGAACTCCATATCCAGAAAAATATTAATTTCCCTAGATAAACATATCTTAAGACACGATTGAAAAGTATAATGGTGGCTAAATTAAAATTTTCCAGTTTCCAGGTTTCTATTTGATAAAAGTTCTTTTTGGATTTTGTGACTGCGGACTTTAAAATCTTTAATATTTTATAATGTCAATTAGAAAAGTTTGAGAGAAATGTTTTCACCCCGCCTCCCCCTCCTCGTTTTAAATGTAAAAAGTATGAGGTCCTATTTACCCTATTTTATAGAATCTAAATTTTACAATTTATGTAAATGGAGGATATGAAGGGATGAAATGAACCCCAGCAAATATACATAAACTTCATGAATTTATTGTATTTAGAATTATAAATATATATTTTATTTATTTATTTAAACACATAACTATTCGACATTCAGTTTCACTACACAGTGTCCCTGGAGGAACAACTTTTTTGATAAAAGTTCCGAAAACGTATTTTGCCATTTTTTTGTCTGGGTCTCTAGTTCTCAAAATATAAATTTTAAAAAATCTGTTTGAGGTTTTTTAAACAATCCTCATTTTTAAATAGTTCATGAAAATATTCCAAAATCAAGGATTCGGCTAAAACATGTAAGTTCTCTTTTTCAAGTTTTAGCCGAACCCTTGATTTTGGCATATTTTCATGACCTATTTAAAATGATGATTGTTAACCCCCCCCCCCCCCCAACAGATTTTTTTGGAATTTATATTTTTGAGAACTAGAGAACCAGACGAAAGAAATGGCAAAATACGTTATATGGAACTTTTTCAAAAAGGTTGTTGTCTTTATTTATTAAAATTCACACATTCCTGGACCTTATTTTAAAAATACACAGTACTGCGAGATAGGAAGACGTCATTCCTGAATGAATAGATGAATATGGTCCTAGGGCTCAATATATGGTAGAATGTATTTCTGGATGAATAGAGATGAATATGGTCTCAGGCTTTAATTTATTTCTGGATGAATAGAGATGAATATTGTCCCAGAAACCAATGTATTTTAATGAGCGGTGATGAATATGGTCCCGAGGTACAATGTATTTCTAAATGAATAGACTGCTATGGTCCCAGGGTCCAGTGTATTTCTGAATGAATAGATGAATATGATCCCAGGGTCCACTGTATTTTTAAATAAATCGATAATTTGGTTCCAGGGTCCAATGTATTCATTACTGAATGAATAGAGATGAATATGGTCCCACAATCCAAGGTATTTTGAATGAAAGGATGAACATGGTCCCGGGGTCCAATGAATTCTTGAATGAATAGAGATAAATATGGTCCCAGAATCCAATGTATTTTAAATAAATAGATGAATAGGTCCCGAGGGTTCAATGTATTTCTGAATGAATAGATGAATATAGTTCCAGGGTCCACTGTATTCCTAAATGAATTAATGAATATGGTTCCAGGGTCTAATGTATTTCTGGATGAATTGATGAATATGGTCCCAGGGTCCAATGTATTTCTAGATGAATTGATGAATATGGCCCCAGGGACCAATGTATTTACCAGGGATCAATGTATTTCTGAATGAATAGTGAATATGGTCCCAGGGTTTAATGTTTTTTCTAATAAATGGTGAATATGGAGTATGGACTCTGTAGGTTATGTTGTCTATCCGGTTAAAAATGATGCTTGCTCTTTACTCTCTATACTTAATACTTTCTATATTTGATTGATAGTGCACATTTAGACTAAAGATTGATATATGCACATAAAACATTAGTGTTTGGGCATGATACATTGAACAAACTTTGTATAGTACACCGATTTTTCATTCAATTATTCAAGTTTCTTAAGAAGGCAACGAATATAGGGAAAATGAAAGTTTTTTATGAAAGGCATGTTTGGTGCAAAAAAAAAAATTATCTAAGCTTTTGATTTGGTAAGTATGGTTTGGTAAAAACCAGAGTTATGTTAGCATGTTTTGATAAAACCAAAGTTATGTAAGCATGGTTTGGTAAAAAACCAAAGTTAAGTAAGCATGGCTTGATAAAAACCAAAGTTATGTAAGCATGGTTTGGTAAAAACCAAAGTTATGTAAGCATGGTTTGATAAAAAACAAAGTTATGTAAGCATGGTTTGATAAAAACCAAAGTTATGTATACATGGTTTGATAAAAAACCAAAGTTATGTAAGCATTATTTGATAAAAAACAAAGTTATGTAAGCATGGTTTGATAAAAACCAAAGTTTGATAAAAATTAGTTTATGTTTGGTCAAAAAAAACTGAACCTGGCGATATTTGCAAAATCATAATCAGACTTCTGCTCTGGAAATACCTTCCTGGAAATAATAGAATATTCGAATGCATGGATTATAAAACTTTTAAACTATTTAATTCAATAAATATTTATTAAAGTATATTTCTAACTACACTGAAATAATTTATTTAGGAGGACGTTAACACTAACGCTCGTAAATATACAAAAAGAGCTGAGCTGAAAACTGTGGATATTGAGATTAGTGTATTCTTTTCTAAATCTCAAGATTAATATTTAATCTCTAGTTTGTATCCAGAAAAGTGTATAAAATTTAACCAATGAGAGCGGCGAATAAGAAGCCAAGAAATTTAAAATTTTGCGCGCCATTGGTCGGAACCGCTATGGATAACCAAAAAGAATAAAATTAGATCAGGCAGAAATTAAAAGCGTCCACAGACCACAAAGCATATTTAGATTAAACGATCGGCATCAAGGGTTTCCTTATACTCTGACTTCAACCTAATAGTGTACATCTTTAATATTTCAAACCTTGATTATTTGATCTGACAGAATTAACATTTTGAAATGTCGAAGGTCGTGAGTATGTGAAGAGTGAGCAAATAAAAAAAAAATGAAGCAAAAATGAAGGCGTAAAACGAGATAGGATTTTGTTAAGTTTTAAATTCGACCTGAGCAAGGTTTGCTGAATAAATTCCGACCCTGAGTAAAGCGTTCCATAAACAACACAGTTGGCTGAACAATATTAAAAAAATATTAATTTAATTATTTTGAATATTTGAAAAGTAAAATTTGGTATAATTGTGAAAATTCGTCTATATTTTTAAACTAGGATTATTTGTCCAGAACAATTCTAAGAAGTCTTAATTGCTTGTCCAAGATATCGGTAAGTTCTCGATAAGTCCCTACCCCCGTCCCTATACCCCCCCCCCCATGCCTGTCCTAGAAGAACAACTCTCGGCCCGAACCTAGTTTAGAACTTTAGGTGCGGTGATTGGCCATAAAATTGTTTGAGCCTAAGTGCGGATTTTTGAAATGTGTGGGCCGACAAAGTCGAGAAAACACATGGATCTGATTTAGCATTATTGGCCAAAACAATCAATTTTTTGTTGATTTGAAATCAAAGTTTATTTAACCTAGCAGAGGTCTTGAACCGAAAATGTGTTTGACTCTCCCCACAAGCCCAGCCATGGTTTTCTGTAAAAGATAGAGATAAGAAAATGGGGTGAATACTTAGTGCCATTTTACGACATCATAATGCATCAAGTTTGTATTTTACATTCAGTAGCAAAATCATTCTTTTTGTCAATACTTCCAGAGACTTCTCAGTATTCAGAGATCGGACACTTTGAGTGGATATTGTTAGTTGCTTGATTTCTATATCCTATTTGGACACTTTTAAACTGGAGGATCAATGATTAATCCTAAGATTTACAACACAAAATATTTTAAGAAACCACAAATATTTTATCATCAGAGTTTTTTTTGTAAATCTTTCCAGTCTTGAGGGCGCACTTTTATTTGAAATATCTCTAAACTTTTGTTTGGAATATTTTTAAAGTTTTGTTTGAAATATCACGAAACTTTTATTCAAAATATAGTTTTTTTTAATATTGCTAAAAATTTGCTTGGAATATTGCGCAACTTTTGTTTGAAATATAGCAATTTTTTGTTTGGCATATCTTCGAAACTTTTGTTGGGGATAGCGCGAAAATTTGTGTTTGTAATATCGTTTAACATTTTATTTAAAATATCGAAAAACTTTTTTCTGACATCCTTAAACTTGTGTTTGGGATATTACGAAATTTTTGTTTGTAATATCGTTAAACATTTTATTTAAAATATCGAAAAACTTTTTTCTGACATCCTAAAAACTTGTGTTTGGGATAGCGCGAAACTTTTGTTTGAAATATCATTGAAAATTTTGTTTGAAATATTATTGAAAATTCTGTTTAAAAAATCACAGAACTTTTGTTGAAATGTTGCAGAACGCTTGTTTGGATTGAACTGGAAAAAAGAAATATAGAACAAATTATAATTAAAAAAATAACATGTAAAAAGTTTAAATGCAGTATAACTATCTCCGGATTATGTCCAATTTCTATATTCCCCCCACCCTGGTATTTCCAAAATTTGGTTTCCATGCTTTGTGTCAAATAATTTGGCTCTAGGGTTTAAATAATAAATAGTACTTTGGTCTGCAGATTTAGCAAAGTTGAAAGGATTGTGTACATCGTGATATGTTTCCGTGAATATATTTATTTCCGCATGGTCAAATCTTATTTTTTTATTTTAAATTGAAATAAAATGATTGAAAACTTTCTTATTTTCACTGTCAGAATTTCAAACAACAAAAAATCTTTTCAAATTTTTTTTTACTTTTTCAGTTTTTACGAAAAGGCATACACAGGAGTTTATGAAAGTCGGCTCACATAAAACTAACAACATCTAGTCTGTATAGTATAATTTCAGTCATATTTTTATCTTTAATTTAAAATCCGTCAAAAATATCATAAAAGACTTAGTTTACTTTAATTTTTTTATTAAAAACCAACAAATTCGAAAAATATTCATTTTACGGGAAGAAATGTGTTTTGAATTAAAGGCTCATGCACTGACTTTTAACTTTTGGACCCCTAACTTATATTGATCCGTAATGAAAAAAATAAAACTATGGATTAACAAAATATAATATTGATTTACAGATAAATTAAGAATTTAACTGAAGCCTGTATCATGTGCTTGGTAAAATACTTGTTTGATATCTTATTCAACTCTACTTTCATATATAGATGTGACAGTGAGTTGTGTTGAAAATCCTTATTTAGTAAAACTATTAAAACTATGTGTTTCAGATATAGATGTGACAGTGAGTTGTGTTGAAAATGTATTAAGTAAAACTATTAAAACTATGTTTCTTAACAAAAATAAATAGTAATTCTTATTTTGAATTCATTACTAACTTGATTTTAAAATTAAATTGTTTTATCAATTGTCCCTCAGAAAAAAATTGTTGAAAAAACACATACAAACCAATATCAAATCTAACTTTATATAATTTGGAAAGTGTTTAAAACACCCAAAAACAAAATGTTCCATATACAATGTCCGAATTTAATGAATTTCAGCCACGACTCAAATCCCCCAAAAACCGGTTTCAATTGAGCGCCGACTTAAATCTTGAAAAATTAATACAAATTTAAGTGGAACCAACAAAATTCGACCTCCGATTCATCAATGATCTGTGTAGGATTTAAAAAAAAACTCAAAATCAAGATTTAGAGAAAAATTGCGAATTTTTTTTTTGGTGGGGGGGGAATTAAACATTTCTGTCTTCACCACATACGATAAGCAATAATTTATTGTGCGTTTAGAATAAAATGCTTGAATTAAAAAACTCAAAATCATGTCATTAAAAATTTCTAAATGTTTCTATTTCACCCCAGAGTCACCTATGTGTTTGTGGTAGTAAATTACTGGTAATTATTTAATCATTTAAACTTTGTTTTCTGTGTGAATACTGCCATTGTATTATTAATTAAATTGCTTTTATATTACAACAAAAACAAATTAAGTAATTTCCCTTAACAATTTTGGTTGATGACGTAATATGGTTTTCAAAATGTTGATAAATAGGTGTTCAAGGAATTCAATATGTTCCAGGATTCGTCATGATGCAGAATTTGAAATTTTCCATGGATATCAATAAGTAAAGGAACGGAATTATACACTACTAATGCTCAAGCCATTTTTGTAACCTTCAATATAATAAATTTTGAACTTTTTATCTCGCTCTAATTCACAGTTTGAAATTTCAGAAATCTACGATATTTTAAAATTCTAAAAAAGGATACTTGACGGTTATTCCAGATTTTATTTAAAAAGAATTTTTTTTATAAATTAAAAATATTAATTAAAAGGAAAATCAAGAATTAAAGTTTGACGTTTATTAAAATTATGTTTTATGTTAGATTAAATACACTTCATACTTTAGATATTTATTTTTGATTTTGCAAAATCTAAAATTCAATTTTACTGGGTTTATGATTGTAAGAGAGGATATGAAAATTAAATACAAGAATTGGAGAAATTTATCAAATTGATCAAACTATGTTTTGTTATGATATTGAAGCACATTTTTAAAACTTTTTTATTATAAAGAAGAGACGGCATTCGAGAAATCCAATTTTGATAAAATAAGAACGATAAATTTCATTTTGGAAAAAAACATAACGTAATTAGTCTATATTGGTACACATTTCTAACTCATCTTTATTGGTACACAGTTCCAACTCGTCTTTATTGGTACAGAGTTCCAACTCATCTTTATTGGTACACAGTTCCAACTCATCTTTATTGGTACACAATTCCAACTCATCTTTATTGGAACACATTTCTAACTCGTCTTTATTAGTACACAGTTCCAACTCATCTTTATTGGTACACAGTTCTAACTCATCTTTAGTGGTACACAATTCCAACTCATCTTTATTGGTACACAGTTCCAACTCATTTTTATTGGTACACAGTTCCAACTCGTCTTTATTGGTACACAGTTCCAACTCGTCTTTATTGGTACACAGTTTCAACTCATCTTTATTGGTACACAGTTCCAACTCATCTTTATTGGTACACAGTTCAATTGAATAAATAAGTCATGCACTTACTTCACTGTAAAGAAAATAAGTCATTGCCACATGCACAAACTTTCTAATCCCTTTATCTTTTCAACCTGATTGTGAAAACCTTCATATTATAAACTTGGATAATTAGATATAACTAGATTATATGTCGTTTGACATTTATAAGGTCCACGAAATTGGGTAAAAAAATATTGGGATTAGAAAATCAAGGTTTGTGGAAAAGACTCATTTCCTTTAAGCAATCAAGTCTAGAAGAATTGAGGTTTCCAAATCTCTATAATTAACCCATGATGTGGTAGACCTTAGATATTTCGAACTTCAAATTTTAATAGATCAAACAATCTAAATTTGAAATATGATTTTTACACCATCAAAGTTTTTAAATTAACCAATTTTCAAGTAAATTACAAACCTATAGATACATCAGATAATTTATCTAGGATTACAAACCTCTGTAAAAGTTTACGCATGTATGGTGCAAGACAATGCGGGAAATTGTGAGAAGTTAGCACTTTTCTAGAGACATTTAAATATATTACAAGTTTACTTAAAATTCCACCACAGTTACTTTTAATGAAGCGACATGTAATACAGTGAAACCCTTAATAACGAATACATCGAAAGAATTCATCAAATGTCGTATTCTTCACTTTCTGATAATGGACTGTTGCAGACATTTAGTTTTTTTAATTAAATGATTATATGGAACTCTTTAAAACTGTCCCCGCATATTCATGGCTATTTATTTATTTTCGCAAATACTGAAATTTATGTAATATAGTATAAAACTCATTGAAAAATTTTCAAGACTACATTTGATAAATTCTTCCGATGCATTCGTTATTAAAGGAAGTGTTCGCGAAAAATGAAAGGGGGTATAGGCTTAATGCGATAAAAAAGCGCATTTGATCGCTACTAATCTTACTTCTAGCTGTTGCGTCTATAAGGAGAAAATTGTTAAAAACGACTAATACCGAAGAACGTAGTGTCCATACAAATTCAGAAAGATGCAGCCGTAAAAAAATCTATTTAATTAATCATTCAGATATTACATCCCATGGTCATCGATTATCTTTCGCCACATTTGTATATAGTTGATTTTTCATAATATGTTTTGATTTTATTTTTTTAAATAATATTTAGCTTACAATTTGTTTTCGAACATTCCTGGAAAATATCAAAATGTCGTCTTCATTACCAAAAATCCTCGAAACAGGAATAAATGTTTTTAAAGTAACTCTCAGATCATAGCAATTAAAACATATTATGAAAAATCAACTATATACAAATGTGGCGAAAGATAATCGATGACTATAGGTTGTAATATCTGAATGATTTGTTTGAAATTAAATTGATTTTTTTAGGGTCCAAGTCGTATGTTGCATCTTTCTGAATTTGTATGGACACTACGTTCTTCGGTATTAGTCGTTTTTAACAATTTTCTCCTCATACACGCAACAGCTAGAAGTAAGATTAGTAGTGATCAAAAGCGCTTTTTTATCGCATTAAGCCTATACCCCCTTTCATTTTTCGCGAACACTCCCTTTAAGGGTTTCACTGTATCAGTCAGTCTTTAAGATT